TTGTAATATCAATCTCATAAATAAATTTTCAAACATAACATGCCTAATGGAATAGATTTTAATAAAAAGAAAACACTGCTCTGACGCTTCATATTGGAGACAACCAAGACAGGAGCTGATTTTGTCCCTCCTTTCATAACCAGGTTGAATGTGTATAATCATGATAATAATAGTGACCATTGTATTTTTCTTAATTTTTGCCTTGCTTATAACAATTGTGTGACATGACATTATCAATGCGTACACAACCAAGAATGAGCAAGTGACATTTCTGGCAAGGAACACGCCTTTGACCATGTGCCTGTCGAATAGGTTCAACAGTAGCATTGAGAGTAGCATTGAGAGCATTAATAATGCCAAAGAGCTGTAGCTCACCTATAACAGGTTAACATGTCCAAAAAGACAGCCACAAAACTAATGTTGCCGTCAGCATATTCGAAATTTGGAACACAAAATATTATGACATCACCATCATCACAAGAAGAAACATGCATTCAGCTACCTCAATGTGCTTAGTTCAGATGAGAAATATATGTCTTCTACCAACTAAATATACACATTATTAACCAAAATGGCTGAGTATGACCATAAGCAGATTTTCAATATGGCTACTGTTTTGTTCAAAAGTGGGATTATTTCCAAATCCTTATTTTAGGGACCTTTCAACATTGTAATGTAACATGAAATTCAATGTAATAATGCAACACTAAGCATTTATAGTCTCTTCCTTCCTATACAAGACACGCCGTCTAAGCCATGAAAGTAGTCATAATGGTATTACATGAATTGGGAAAACATGCAAGCACATTTGGGAATTTTGGCTGAATATCAGCCTCTGAGTTGGTCCAAATAAATCTCTTGAAGGATCCATGGGTTTTAGAGTCAATCAGATGTCCCGGCTTCTAAAAACAGTTCGGTTTATTTACCACCCGGATTCAGGAATTTCGGTTTTAACAAAAGAAACACACAGAACTCCCAAACACATGCACCCACTCAGCTGCCCCCAATCAGAAAGTAACCCCTTCAGCAGTGTCAAAAGTTATTAGTTACTTCCTGGATCTACCCTGACAATCAAGGAGAAATGTGTGGGAAAGTTGCTATTACACTGAATTTATCATCATGAACAAAGCTCATTAACTTAGTCCTTCTTGACAGGGAAGCTTAAAGGGGTGCTTTCTGAGGGACATTCATTATCCTCGTAATACCTGCATGTCAATCAGCTAGTGTAACACATGCATGATGTTACTCTGATTTCAGCTACTGAAACAAATTAGTGAGACACTGACATAAACCCGTGATTGATGCAGCTGCAGCAGAAGCAACTCTGTCTAGATAACACAACAGTTAGTCAGATATTCGGCTTTGCTGCAGCAGGAGCAATGGAGAATATCACACTTGACAGTGTTAACAGCAGTATTAACACAACTATCTACACTAGGGACAGAACTTTATTTCACGTGGAACCAAGACATTTAATGGACCAGCTCATTTTCAAATCAATTCAAATTCTTAACAAAACAATCATTATTTATCTACATTTTAATCTGAACTACCAATTATAATCTATTATAATATTCTTTGACTTTACCAGATTACTGACAACAGTTTGATTTCTTACACACACAAACATGCTAAAGCAGAAGCAGCCCCATCCCTACCTTTCCTGAATGCCCCCAACTGAACCTACCATAATAACAAAGTCATAAGCATTTCCAGTTTAGTTATATCACTTGGAAAAAACACATGCCAAATGTGGTGCAACTTTAAAACAGAAAGTCATATGCACCTAGCCACCTTAATAACAAACTTATAAAGTCTTCCAGTTTAATTACATCACCTCTGGTTTGGGAAATCATATGCAGAATGAAGTACAACTTTGAAAGAAAATGCCCTATGCCTGTAGCACATGTGTAGCTACCATAACAAGAAGCTTCATGTCTCCAGCTATGTCAACAAGAAATTTACATTCACTTCCAGGTTTAATGACTTCATTCCCAGGTTTGGAAAAACGCACTTAATGCACGACATGAAAACAGGAATTCCCATGCCTGTACCTAGGTTAATAAGAAAGTTACTGGCACAGTCGATTTAATTACCTTGGCCCTTAATTTCAGCTAAACACATGCAGAGTTCTTCTTGAAACAATGGGTGCTTGTCCTCACAAACATTTCACACAAACACAGACAGTCGATTATCACTTGGCAGTCTGTGACATTAGCCACTAGTTGGGAGCCTGAGTCTTGCAAAATTCTGTCAGGTCTAGTAAGCTCAGTTCAGCAACCCATGGCTATGCAGGTGGCTTATGGGATCAAGTGCCGGCTTGCTGACCTGGTTGATGAATGTCATCCTATTCCAATGGAGTAGATCAATGCTCATGATATCAATTACTGAATTGTCTGGTCCAGACTCAATTGCTTACAGACTGCCATCATATAGCTGGAATATTGCTGTTTTAACAACAAATAAACAAATAAAATATGACAGAACACTAAATGTACTAAACATGACACAAAAAGACCCATGTTCAGGCTTGTGGACACAAAGTTTTTGGCACTGACTGACTTGGCAGAATTAGTGAAACAATGGAAGACTAGCAATTATCATTATATGCTTCTCACCAAAAGGAGGTCAGAATGACCTAACACTTATATAAAAACATCCTCATCACTTGTTATTCATATGTATTCACATGATATAACCACAACATGCATGTCAGTGAAAATGGAAATAATACCATTTACCAGTGTTTCCATTTCCTGGTATATACCAGATATTGAGTGGCAAAATATGACTTGGACCGGTCCATGTGAGGATTCATGGTCCCTGTGTCCAGCAAAAATTCCCATTGAAAAATGCATGACATAGCCTGTGAGTCACTGTAAACAACAAAATCACACTGTATCAAAAGCTATCATGTCAATTCTCTGTAACCTTCTAGTGGAAATCATGGTTCTAAAAATAGTGCACATTGTCAGCCAATAAACTACAACATGTTCTCAGAGCTCCAGATAAGCTGCGTATCTGCTTAAAATACGCATAAAAAATGCAGAAATATGCAGTAAAATAAAATCCAAGCGTATCAAATACGCAACGAACATTACAGATTAGCTACAAAATAAAACTTGTGCGTATCATCAAAATATTGTGAAGTAACCCTGCGTATTCAATTAGAAAATCAGCAACTTATTTTGAAATTATAAACGGACATTCCATCAACCTTGCCAAACTCCATGATGACAGTTACATCATGATCATTTGCCATCACACTTTCTTGTGGAAGTATGTGGTATTTTTGAGTCCTACAAAGCTCTCAAACCCACACGACACCAGTTTGCAGGGTCTAGATGAATAGTGTTTTTAAATATTTAACTTAAATACCCACATGTGTAAAAACTAGTGGGTAACAGAGAAATTTGAATACCCAGATAGAATTACTGATACCCAATGATTTTAAAATGCATGGGTAAAATACCCACAACACCAAAAGCTTATCAATAAATGTTTTTGCAAATCTGAAAAAAAAACAATAATAGAAAAAAATACTCACACACGTTCTGATCAATGCATTAATGAAGCAGCATTACTATATCATGTTTAGGGAACATAAGACTATTGAAGTTGTAACAGCAGTTTGGATGATCTGATGATCAGCGTCAGCGGTCTAACCAACTCGGCCACCTTGAGTAGTGAATGCCACTGCTCGTGACTTTAACTAGTGTGTTATGGCAAGTTTTATTGAAAAATGTTGAAAGGTTTTCAAGTTTGTTTGTTGTTTTAAAAGAATGCTGCACTTAGCAATATTCCAGCAACATGATGGTAGCTTATGCACATTCGATGACCCCTGACTCCAAAGGACATTGTTTCGCGGGTGTGACTGGCAACAAAATACTACAAATTACGTCATAGGGTATTGTGACCTGTTTGAAAATTTTGTTGTACTGTATTCTAAAAGTATGCCCACATTCCCACTGATTGCAAGTTTTGTTAATGTTTCTTGAGTGTTTTTGTTTGCAGGTTCTATTGTGAATAAAATTTTAAATAAAAAATATGGTCAGTAATAACATTTCTTTTGAAGGATCCTTAAATACTAACTATTGTAAATAATTATCCTGGCAAGTATATTCTAGCTGTGGACAAAAAGTTAAGTGGTGAGTGGAGTAGGAGTACTATTGTTTTGATTGGAGACTAGAGCTTCTATCTCATCCTATATAATAGACAAAGTGCAGAACTGACATAATTCAATATACATATGCAATAAATCAATATTCAAGTCAATGTCCCAATTCTATTTGTTTTGTCTACAAGTTCAATGTGAATTTGTTCAACAAGTTGGGAGTGTCTATGAATTCTCCATGGCTACGAATTATTTTGGGTACGAGTTTACCTACTGCCTGTCAGCTTAAAGTTCATGCATGTGATGCCAGCATTCAATTAGCATGTAAGGAAATAGCTACAGATATGCATGCTAGACTGTAATTGTCACGTGTTAGTGTACATGGATATATTTGTGCACATATATCTACACAAGCAACTCAATTAATTGGATAGCTTGTGGAGATATTGGCATTCGTTTTAAGCGGAGCTTTGATAGCCTAACTGAAAACACAGCATGACATCAATAAATAAAAAACACATTAGAAAGAATACATAAACTAAATATACCACCAACCAAATCATTTCTTCAGTGAAATGCAAGTAGGAAAAACAAATGATAAAATTACGAACTGATTAGTTTAAACAAAACAAGACGAAATATCTTCCAATGTTAATTCAGTAACCACAAATACAGGCCTACGATGCTATGCCGATTGCGCGATCATCTCAAGATCTAGAAATGAGAAAGCATTACAGAAACGGAAACGGGTTCTCTAAATGTGGTCTGCTGGTGTTACTCTGGCACAGACATACCCGTAGACAACAGTACGTGCATCGCGTATCCCATATTGCAACAGGCAATATGCACTGATGCACTAAGGTTGCAAAAAATTCAAACATCTTACCGATCCTCTCTATTGTAAAGCCTGCTGGTGCCTTCAACAATCTTCTTCCCCACGCAGTGCGCAGGTTTTCTAGATGTATTTCATTCCCCACTACGAGCACAGTGGACGGTTCCACAAATCCTTTATATCCTAAATTCCTTATACTTTCAACAAGAGCGGGGTTCCAGTAACATGTCTTGTTACGAAGTTTGAAATCCTCCAGTAGTTCCTTCCCATTGTGAACACTGACCGTTGACTCAAGTGTAGCAGAATTTTCATCTCCACACTTTTCCTTTTCTTCCAGCACGATAGCGAGACATTTAGACGTCACGGTTAGATGCTTGGATAACCTTTTCTCGTCCCGATTGTGACGGGAAGACATGATTTTAGATTGTTCGATTTAGTAAAACTTTCATGTTTGAAATGAACACACTTCCACCTCTTCACCTGTCGCTTTGATTCCCAGCTCGAGTCTCGCGCTTGTCTGCGCCGCCTTGTGGTATGTTTACTCCTCTAAAGGGATGTAACTCTGAAGCACAACCACAGGTTAATTTTGTTAAAAATTTGCAGCAATCGCTTTGAAAACGCTTAAGTATTTCGATAGTTTTCATTGCTATTCTGAGTTTGTATCGCATCAAATTTTATCACACAAAGTACACATCCTATATATGCACATAACAAGGAAATAACGTCTGTTACCAAACGTCCAGTAGCTTCTGTCCGAGACGTGTCTTGTCTGCTACATACCTGTAATTGCATTGTGTCAGATGCCTGTTGTGTTACTGGAAACCTGCGCTTACTTGACCTTTGACTCCAACACTGGCTCCCTCCGGCAATGACCTCTGAGTTCCCAGTGTAGATTATATCGATTTTATTACACAGAGGGTCGAACAATGTTGATATGGTATTACCTTACAGAAAGACTCTATCGGCGCATACATTCGTATGTAATAACATCTATTACCGCTGAGCCGGATAACCCGGTCAGTAGCTTTATACAATTCATAGTTCAGCGACTCAAGCATAACAAGGGGAATTACAGATTGAATAATATATTCTGCCTGAATGTGGTAGGAACAGTTCACCTACTGTTAGCTGAAGCCCCCATACGTTAATTACCCTTAAACGACATGCATTGTCTTTGATAATTTGATTTGCCTTTTAAATAATGTTTGCGTGTGCGTAATTGTCCGAATACAATATAATTGTGATTAATACAAATACCAGAGGGACATATATGTCCCTCCTCTTCAACCCTCACTTTGAGGTAGAATGATATTCAACACACATCAAGCACACAAATACACTTTAAGTTTGGTATTCTGTGAGAAATTCCATGTTCTGTGATATCATCCACGGCCATTTGAGGCAAAGCAAAATTACTGTAAATGACCTCTGAAACTTAAGTACAACGTAAATGTCGCCATATTTTACACATTACTAAATCAACAATCACGGCGTTATTTACAGTATGATCTGAAATCTAAATTTCGGATTATACAAACACATACTAAGGGTGCGCATATCCCCCCCCCCCCCCCCCACACACACACACTTTTTATTTCGAAAAAAATCTTTATTTCTGTACAAATTACCACCAAAGACAATAAATAGATCTTAATTGTGCACCACCCACCACCCAAAATCTGATGGCGGGCAATTTTATAGAGTGGAAAATAGGCAAACAAAATCAACTGACAACAGTCTCGCTAATCTTTTGGAGCGCTAAGGCAGATTAAAAGTGGTTCATGGGTTGAATTCTAAGTGGAGACAGAAAATATTTATAAAAATTGTATTTCTGAAATTCGATGATTTTGTTTGCATTTGTATATTCACATAAACCTAAAACAATTAGATCCTGTCCTCTAAATGGTTAAAAGAGCTGCATTGTTGACATATTTATTTACAAGAATTCACTTCTATATTTTGGAGCACCTTTAGAATACGGTACTGAATTCTAAAGGTAGGCCGAAGATTTTATAGATTTTCGGGCAACGAGGTCCATTTACACCTTGTCCAGAATGAAGGCTTACAAAATTCCTAAAAATGTTATGAAGTAGAGAAACTGACACAGGCTTTCCCCTTGGATGATAGAGGGATATATTTGTCCCTCCTCTTCAACCCTCACTGTGAAGTCGAATAAAATTCAAACTGCAGCAGTCACAGTCCGTCATATTGGATAGTGTTTACAAAATCACGTTTCACATATACCGGTTATGAGATGCCTATAACATCACATTAATTTTATACTCAGCTGCGATACATACATCATTGAATTCCTCATACAGAGTAGAATCAAATGACACATGGTCCTTGTCACCAATACAAAGTGTTTAGATGAAATCAAGCAAAATAAATTAGGTGTCAAAACGAACGCTGTGCTCGAAAAACTACACTTGTTTGAAATGTAAACAGAGCAAAATTCAGATTTTACACAGTGTAGCATTTTCTCCTATTTTGAACTATCCATTCGTCTATTCATTGAATACATTGGCACAACAATTTCAGAATATGCATGGGAAGAGAATCGTATGAAGAATTAGGGAATTAAAAATAGATACATTGCAATGGTTGATATTTTCAACAGAAATAGTCAAAATTTCCGTCCTGTGTGACGCCATGACTGACGCAAAATCACGCAAAACGACAACGGTATTTTTCGGAATTTCTGACTATTTCCGTTGGTTTCAATAAAAAATATCACAACAAATAACAATACACTAATTGTCGGAATGTTTCCGATTACTTACATGTCACATTTATGCATGCACGATTCCTGAATCAACGAAAGTCCCATCTTAAAATCCCGCGTACTGTTGAACTGTCAACAGAACACGCCATTTTGTAAAAGTCGGTCACCGGTCGTGATGTCATACGCCAACGTTGTTGAACATATTAGGTAATTTCTTGGAGGTGAAGGTCCTTGAACAATGTTGAATGAAAGCACACACGATCATTGTATCCTGCTGTTTACAGTTATAATTATTTTGTAGATTTTTCATATCTTTCATACATTTTTTCGCCTACTTTGGATATTTGTCAATGTTCGATATGATATTATACGTAGATCTAGGCCACAACGTGTATCTACCTTTGATAATCTCCTGTTTGTTTGGACAAGAAATTGATAAGTTTATATATATATATATATAGTGTTGTATACGATATTTCTTTAATCTGGACAGTGTTACATCATTACCTTACGTTGAGTCACATATCTTTGACAATGCAGTTAATAATGAACTGTACAATGTGCAGAAATGTTTTTATTATGCTAAATATTGAGATATGCAAGACAACCATTCCCGAGACGAGGTAAGAGAACCTCTTCTCTCTGATTGTTTGGGGATAGTTGTAATGCATTAATAAAAGGTTCGATGCCACAGAGATAACTCCTTTTGAGGATGATGCCCATGTCTGTCATGTTCAGTAATATGAAAAGCAGTTTTCTAAGAACGCATACCATAAGACCCCATACCATCTTTACAACGATCTTGAAAATTATCAACATAATCACTTAACACAGGTTTGATTTATGTAAATAGTTACTAAATACCATCCATGTTTAAAAGAAAATCGACACCTGGACGCACCCAGGTGCAATCTTAGACTACATTACTACTATAGTATTATTTGTAACACTTTGAAACGATATGTCACCTTCATACTGCTGTCACTTAGCTACAACGTTGTACAAAGTTAGACGTGATGACTGGGTGAATGAATAGAAACCATCCATTATGATTCTGCGCATTTGTTGAGTAATGGACATTGACTTATTTCGTTGGTATTAATAATTGTATTGCATTTGAATGTTGTTTAAAAATATATAGCTAGAAAATATCAACATCGGCCATGGTTAATTGCTATTCTATTCCAATTTCAATATTTTCAACAGAGGTTTTATCATTTTAAACGTTATCATCCAATAAATATATTGCAACCACATACGAGTCGTACATATAGAATACTAAACGAGCTCCCGTGTAATACCAATTTTATGAAACGAGTGAATAGTTCTGGTATCTGACGAGCGAAAGCGAGTCAGATACCACAACTATTCACGAGTTTCATAAAATTGGTTTTACACGAGAGCGAGTTTAGTATTTTATTTATTACTTGTCATTTATGTTTTTAGAATTATACTGTTGAGTGTAAATAGGCTGACACCTACACGATCCATGGCATAATCCAATTGAGTTTAACAGAATAATACTTCAAACACGTCAAAAGTTGAAACGTATGCATTTAATATCATACAATGGTCCACCTTTAGAATTCAGGCGTTCGTCCCACAAAATTATCGTAGTGCTAGGGCTATCACAACTCACATAATTTAACTTAGACTAAAGACTCGTTGCGCTAGAGTACGATCGCCTTGTGGAACGGGGCCTTGCAGCTCAAAGTTTACAATGACGTCACAATACCCGATGACGTAATTTGTTGAATTTTGTTGCAAGATCCATCGGCGAAACAATGCCATGTGACGTCAGCCTAGCAACAAGGTTGCTGGGGTCATCGAGTGTGCATAAGCTCCTCCCAGTGATCTATCATCTCCACACACAATGTCGTTGAATACGCCAAGGGATGTTGAGAGCTTTCAATATTTGTTCGTGAAACGTGTTCCGAGAGTACATAAGCACGCGTTTTGGTATTACACAATGTGTAATAAAGCTGTATGTTTATTAAACGGGTGATCTCTTCACGGGCAAGTAATAAATATAGAATACTAAACGAGCTCCCGTGTAATACCAATTTTATGAAACGAGTGAATAGTTCTGGTATCTGACGAGCGAAAGCGAGTCAGATACCACAACTATTCACGAGTTTCATAAAATTGGTTTTACACGAGAGCGAGTTTAGTATTTTATTTATTACTTGTCATTTATAATGTTTTTAGAATTATACTGTTGAGTGTAAATAGGCTGACACCTACACGATCCATGGCATAATCCAACTGAGTTTAACAGAATAATACTTCAAACAATCAAAAGTTGAAACGTATGAATTTAATATCATACAATGGTCCACCTTTAGAATTCAGGCGTTCGTCCCACAAAATGATCGTAGTGCTAAGGCTATCACAACTCACATAATTTAACTTAGACTAACGACTGTCGTTGCGCTAGAGTACGATCGCCTTGTGGATGGGGCCTTGCACCTCAAAGTTTACAATCACGTCACAATACCCGATGACGTAATTTGTGGAATTTTGTTGCAAGATCCATCGGCGAAACAATGCCATGTGACGTCAACCTAGCAACAAGGTTGCTGGGGTCATCGAGTGTGCATAAGCTCCTCCCAGTGATCTATCATCTCCACACACAATGTCGTTGAATACGCCAAGGGATGTTGAGAGCTTTCAATATTTGTTCGTGAAACGTGGTCCGAGAGTACATAAGCACGCGTTTTGGTATTACACAATGTGTAATAAAGCTGTATGTTTATTAAACGGGTGATCTCTTCACGGGCAAGTAATAAAACACATTTCTATTTTGTCAGAAGAGTCACATCAACTATTACGAGTTATTCTTTATTCCTTAAATGGACAATCTCATTAAAATCAGATCTTAGTTCTCGCTAAGATCTGATTTTAATGACATTGTTAAATGGAACACCAACCCTCTTAAAATAATCTTTTTCGACGGCATGGAATGGAAAGACAAAGTTAGGAATATTTTCAATGCGACACTTTATGGGTGGCTCTACATATGTCGACATATATAAACTTCCTACATGCGTATCTCATTCAAATACCTGAGAATATTTTATTCGCTCAAAGTTTTCTGACAAGTGTATGATAAATATTTTTCTCGCATAGCACAATTTCGGGGTGTATTCGAAAACCTGCGAAATGTTCATGCAAAGAATACGCTAGACTATGTTTACTATCATTTCTCTTACATATCGATATCATGTACGTAAAATGTATGAAGAAAATAATTTTGGAAATTTAATTTCCTACAATTAATTACAATTTAGAGTTTGAAGGTTTTTCCTGCACCCGACGGTGGCACATCTAACAAGTGGCTTAAAGTAGTTTGTGACGTTTCTCAGTGGAGGCTTTTGTAGAAGGGTAAGCGCGTCGTCTTAAAATAGCGACCAATGAAAAATTACATAACATAGTGTATGTTTAATATTTCGAAGGCGCTCACAGCCATCGTCTCATTGGCCTGTACCGGCTCCTATATTGTGATATTGGAGACGGGGCCCAGCTTAGCCAAACACTCAGCGTGTTTATTTGACGTCACATCCGGTGATTTTCCAAAATGGCTACGTTAATGCCAATACAGGGGAGGGACACACCTGTGAAAAGAGTGTCACCTTACGTTTGCTGTTGTAAACCAAAATCTGTTAGCGGGCACTTTTATAGAGTGGAAACTAGACAAATAAAATCAACTGACAACAGTCTCGCTAATCTTTTGGAGCGCTAAGGCGGATTAAAAGTGGTTCATGGGTTGACATTCTAAGTGAAGACAGAAAATTAATAAAAGAAAATGCATTTCTGAAATTCGATGATTTTGTTTGCGTTTGTATATACCCATAAACCTAAAACAATTAGATCATGCCATCTAAATGGTTAAAAGAACTGCAAAGTTATTATTGTTGACATATTTTTTTACAAGAATTCACTTCTATATTTTTTTGCGGATTTACACAAAGTGTGCACTCCAGCTTTTTCGTTTGCAAATACCACCATAAACTAAATTATTGAAGTCAACTCTGAAATAGTCTATGTTCCATTGACATAATATAGAAAGCTATCACGTTTCATGGATAATTGCCAAACTATTGGTACCCATATGTTTACGTTGTAATTGCTTGAAAATGTAAAGGGCAACTTCTACCATACCACCACTGTACAATGTAACTGTAACGGTCGCTATTCTAAGATGCATCGTAAATCACACAGGACAACAAAGTCCTAGGAACAGTTAACGTAAATATTATATAAAAAGTAGACTGCAATCTTTGATTTATGATTGATCTTTAAAGATTTTATAGATATTCGGCAACGAGGTCCATTTACACCTTGTCCATAATGAAGGCTTACTAAATTCCTAAAAATGTTATGAAGTAGCGAACCTGCCAGAGGGACATATATATGTCCCTCCTCTTCAACCCTCACTTTGAAGTCGAATAAAATTCAAACTGCACCACGCACATAGATACACTTCACAGTTTTGAATACTGTGGGAAATTCCCTGTTTGGTCATATCATCCACTGGCATTTTGGGCACCTTTAGAATACAGTACCACAACTTCTCGTGAGGACTATCTCTGCCGTAGGTCACATGTCACAAGACAAGCAACCAGTTTTAGTGCGAATCCGTCGGACGCGAACCAGCGACCTTCGGATTGTTAGCCTGACAAGCTAACCGACTGAGCTACGTCCACACTGTTAAACTTGGTGCAAATTTACCTAGTCATGCCTATGACGTTACGGAACTGAACTAAAAGGGTCGAATAGGTGACGGACACTTACGAAGGTTACGGGTAGGCATGGTGTCTCGTGACTTTAGTCTACTGACACTTACGAATGATCCCGATGGCATTTGGCACACTCGTCCATTTCCGTAATCTACAAGATACCGGGTGGTGAGGAATGAGCCGATATGCCGCGAACTGAAAACGGCTCCAGGCGTCAGACGTCAGAGGTCGAACTCGCGAGTGCGCATGAATGAAATGGTATTTAATAATTCGTCGGGTGATTTTTGTGACAGAAAAGTGTGGTAGGGAACACTGTAAGGATGATGTCGATAATAGTAAGGAACGATGAAGGAATAAGCATGACTAGTGACGACACAACGGTGAGTTCGCTTTTGAATCAGTAATGAAAAATGTAGCTGGTGAAAGTGGCTTGTGTGAATGTTCCAGGACAGTTTCCAGTAGCCAAAATATTCGACACAAAACTATTTCATCCTTTTTACTCAACGTTTTTGTGGGAAGAATATAAGGAGCCGCTATATAATCTACAATAGCCACTAAACGAGTACCTAGCCCCTAACCCTAATGATCGTAAAGGGGTGATTGATCGTAAAGGGGATCCAAGGGTTAAGGATAGACTTCGGGTAATCTAATAGCAACTAAACGGGTTCCTAACCCTAATGATCGTAAAGGGGGTGATTGATCGTAAAGGGGATCCAAGGGCTAAGGATAGAGAGTTCGGGGTAACCTACCCTAAAAATGGCGACATTTGGATGTGTTCATCGCCAATATAATATCCCTAATAAACTGCATTCTTGTGCATAATAATGAAAATTAATGAACCGAAAAAATAATATATGTATATTAGTTCCCATTTATAACCATTTTATCCACTTCAATTACGAGAAAAACGAAATAAAAAATATATTAAAAATAAAAGTGCTTTCGTAAACTAGCGCTTGCTCTAAAATGCGCCGCCGCAGGCTATAATTAGTGAACAAAGACTCAAAACTCTCAACACCGCAGGGCGTATTCAATGACATTGCGTGTAGAGATGATAGATCACTGGGAGGAGCTTATGCGCACTCGATGACCCCTGACGTCACTGGGCATTGTTTCGCCGGTGTGACTGTCAACAAAATACTACAAATTACGTCATAGGGTATGATCACTTGTTTGAAAAGTTTGTGGTACTGTATTCTAAAGGTAGGCCCACAGTGAGTTATGTTGATTCTTATAAGATTTATGCTATTGTTGGTGTATTTAATGTGTTTTATCGTTTGTGAATGTTATGTGATTGTGAAAAAGTGCTATGATTAAAACTTGAAATGAAAAAAACAAACAAAAACGTTTCAAGTTGTGTTGATCTTAAAATTCTATGTATCCTCTCTTTCATCTTATTTGTTTGAATAAATAGAAAAAAATGTCTCAGTGTCTGTTGATAATTTGTTGCAGGTGTCTGATGCTGACTTTGTTGATACCCCTAAGCCAAATGAAAGCCCATTCAAGCAGGCCTGTGACCCTGAATCTCCCAAAGTGACTATGCAGATACATGGAGGGACTCCTCAGTCTGATGAAATTGAACATCATTCCACAACATTCAGTCAAGGTGCCAGGTACAGCGGGAACATAAGTTTTTTCTCTTTTTTGAATTTGTTGATTATTATGAGAAGTTATGCTTAACAAGACAAAATATAAAAATCCTGGTGTAGTCTCTCTTACTTACAGAACAATAAAATATAAAGAGCATAAAATATATATAGAGAGCATAAAATATAATAGAGCATTGACCAATAAACTTGATAATACACTTCTTATATTAGCTTTTGTATTAACAGATTTATGTTAATTTATTTTTTATTAATTTTAAATATCGGAAAAAAACTATTTATTTAATGTGATGAAAAGCTATTTATTATTTTGACAGATCCTATGACGTTGCATCAATTATGCTGCATGACTACTGTGAGGCTGTGTGTGAAGACGACATCAGTTCAGTTGCATAAGATATGGATCATCGCAAACAGAAATGGTGGAAGTTAGAACCATGTCTACTCAAACTGACGATGTAATGTTCCAGTGTTTGAATCCTGTGAAAACATCCTGTGCAATGACTCAGACTGAGACTGAAAATAAAAAAGTCTTTCGCAATCAAGCCACTCAAGTCAAACTTCCTGATTTAACATTTTTTGATGTGAAGAATGATTCAGAATTGGTAACCTATTATACAGGTCTTGTGGATGCAGAAAAGTTTTCATGTTTATTTGACGAGTTTTCTGAGGTTGACAGGGACTATCCAACATCCAATATCGGACGCCCTAAATCTTTGTCTTTGATAGACGAGTTCTTTCTAGTGTTGATGCGTCTTAGACTTGGACTCCTAGTTGTTGATTTATCAAAGCAATTTCATATTTCCAGAAGCTGCTGTGCTGATGTCATTAATAGATGGATTGATATTTTGTACAACAATTTATCCTTCCTAGTTGTCTGGCCATCAAAGGATACTATTAATACAATGCCTTAAGGTTTTAAAGATCTGTATCCAAATACAAGGGTTGTTATAGGATTGTACAGAATTATTTACAGAAAAACCTTACTCTATTGGTAAACAGTCACAAATGTACAGTCATTATAAAAGTCACATAACATTTAAAGCGCTTGTTGGTGTCACTCCAAATGGTGTTGTTAGCTTTGTCTCTGACTTGTGGTCAGGAGCTATAAGTGACCGGTAAATAACAGTAGAATCAGGACTTTTAGATTTGTGTGATGTAGGTGATGCAATCATGGCGGATAAGGGATTTACAATCTCAGACTTGACAACACCAAAAGGTATACTCCTATTAATTCCACCAAAGAAACATAAGAGAAAACAGCTGACTGCTGTAGAAATTGAACAAACTAGGAGAATAGCCAACTTGAGAATCCATGTTGAAAGGGACATGGAACGTGTCAAGAATTTCAGAATTTTGCAGGGTATAATTCCAATTACAATTTCAAAATCTGTAAACAAAATCTGGAAAATCTGTAATGCTTTGACTACTCTGCTTCCCCCTCTTTATCCTGCTTCCCCCTCTTTATCCTCATGACCAAGAAATGGATGACAATTAGACAAATAAGTCTATTTTTGTCCAATATGACTATTGACATGACCACCTACTGGTTGTCTATTTTTGTTTTACTTATTGAATCAAAGCATTGATATAAAAATCCTGACTCTTCATATAAGTAGATAAACAATTTCATGTTTTAGCTGTGACAGCAGGATCATAGTCCCATGGTTCTAATTTTTGTAACAATAACTAAAAATGAAAGAAACAAACGCTTGATGATTTTCTTTAATCATGTTGTCCATGTTGTCATTTCAAGACGTTACAGAAAATATGTTATGATATGTTATGGCTTAATAGAATGGTTCAAGAAATTACAAGGAGAAGAAGATATCCTATGTCTAAGCGACATACTATCTGAATGGTCAGTCGCCGTGAATGCGGCGTTAAGTAACAATTCACCCACTGAATGGTAAGTATCTATGACTATCAAAGAAAGATATGATATGGTATTGAGTGAAACATTGAATTGACTGAGTGAGCATAGGGTAAAACAACTGGTAAGATGGTAGTACAACGGTCAATCTAATACAGTGAAACACCTCGCGGGTCACGTAGGGTATATTTTTCAGGAATAATGGCCGACAGATAGAAACTGCGAAGCCTTGTGACCATCTGATGCCACTTGTTCTCGTCAAATGTAATCCTTTAAATAGATATCCCTTTGAGAGTCCACACCACAAAATCACACCAAGTTCTTTTGGTCAAGGCCATCTGTCCTTGTACTTGAAAGTAGTATGCATGGTTTTCTTTTAGAGTCACATTATTGTCCACAATATGGCAGAAGAAATTTGTATTTGATGCAGCCTCTTCTGGTGTTAGATCTCTGAAAACAGATGGACATTTAATCTCTACTAAGCCATGTTGATTACTACATGTACTACAATCTGTGCATGACACAAGTCCATCAGGGCTAGTTGCAAGGTAAGGGTAGTCTGTATTCACAATTAGTCCACACTGAGACACTTTCAACTGTGGATGAAGACCTGCCATTTTGTTGATATACTGCCGCCTTGCTGCCGATTCATGTGAAAGTCCCCATCTGGTATGTCTGTTACCAAATTCGCCCCGATATCCCATTAGGTCACATACAAGTCTATCTGGAGCTGTAGATGTCTGTCGGATAAATACTTTGCCAAACTTTGAACTTGTTATCCTTTCCAATCTGGCTTCCTTCCAAAACTTTGTTTTATGTTGTCCTCTTGTCATTCTCTCTATTGACCTCACATCCGTTTCTGACACTTACATGGAATCAAAATAATTTTGAAAGGTAGTTTGACAGGTTGGCGATTTAATATCAACATAGTCAGGAATACAACGATCAATGCATGGTATTTTTGGAAGTTCTGGCATAGGTTCAGGAGCTTGAGTAACAGTAGTTGTATTAACAACATATCCACATTTACTTTTTGTTTCATGACCAATTAGCTTCTTATTAAATCCTGTGAGATTTATTGTTGTCTGTGGCATGTTGCTGTTGGGACACATTGATCTTTTGTTGATTGTTCCATTCTGTATTCCGACAGTACCTTGTGTAGTCCCAGTACCTTTTTGTTGACTCTTCCTGCCACTTGACATCAGGTTCAAGTCATCCGATTTCATTGGATCCAACTTCCTTTTTCTTGGAATTTTCCACTTGCACTCAACTGATGTGCATGAAAGCAAACCATCCTTTTTCTTCTGACTAATGTCTGCAAGGGCATGAAGCAGGGCTGATACATGATTACAAGCCTCCCCGGCACTGCAAAAACAAAATTAGTTATATATATTAATATTATTTTGACTCTAGCTTTAATATTATGAAATAACAATCAAATGCATATAAAATGACACAGTCATGTTTCCTCTATTTCACCCTAAATAATTATTATTTTTAATGTAATCAGCTAAAGATGTCACATATTAATAAGCAACAATATCAATAATCTGTTTATTTATTTAAATCAACAAAAGTGAATGAGAGGTCCCACAAAAGAAGAGATTTTATAATGTATCAATTACTTTGCTGGTATTTGGAATTAATAATTTACATATCTTTTGAACAAACTTAATATTTGGAACATATTTTCTTTGAAAAGGTTTTTAAACGTTTTGTTTGTAAAAAACAGCAATCTAGATATAGATGACACGACTGTAGTTATATAAATGCAAAGTCTACATACCCAGCTGCACAGGTACAATTTGCTGAATGAACACGACCTGTTACTTTTGAGAGACTTGCCCAAACTTCGTGATCGGGGCTTTTCTTAGGATCCGCTGTTGGTAGTGATGGTATTACACGGCATCTGACAAACATATGGTCACAGTCGTGATGGATGTTGTGTAGAGCTACGCCGTGAACATGTCTATCTTGGTAAAACACCACTGCCTTCATTTGTCGTTTAGCCATCATGGGTTTCGTGTCTGAAGTCCTATGGTTGCTAAGTACCATATAATTGTAGATTTCCTTCTCTGAGAATTCCGGCAATGATTCAAAAGCATCGTTCCATCCAATCATTAATGTAGTGGGGTCTGGCATTCGATATCCGCTGGGTGTGACGAGCTTCCGTTGCATAGATATAACGCCTTTACTGGGTTGTACTAAGGTGGTTGCATCCAAACGAAGTGCCTTCGCCCCTCTTGCTCGCGCTAAAACTTGTGCTCTTACCCCAGTCACCTTTTGATTTCGTTCCCGTAGGTATTCACGCAATTCTTTAACTGTCATTTGATGGAATTCATCATCAACGTCAATATTGTTATTTGCCGCCATTTTGAAGGTTTACTCGGCGGAAGTGAACGTGGAAAGGGGACATCACTCTAATTTTCTCAAGCTCCTTCCCAGCGCGTGACACCTTCGTTACACTCTCGGTAACATCGCATTTGTGACCAACTCGTGTTATTCCGGGACAAGCCGGTAACAATTTCAGGTTACGGAAAGGGCCGAGTGGTGACGAATGGGTAACATCGCTGCCACCAGTGTGGGCGCGGCCATTTCAAGAATCTTGAAATTTGCCCTCCAACCCCATATGTAGTAACCTTTATACTTTTGTTTATGTCTTTGAGAATGCCATCATATTTCAATTTGAAAAGGTTTACGACTGACCATGTTTTCCAGATGAATTTACTTTGTTGTTTTGATAATCAGATTGGTTCGAGATTGCAGACTAATGGAAAATCAACCAACTTCTCCCTTACATTCTTACTATATCAATAACACGATAGTTTTAATGAAACAGAAATTCAAATTGACAAACGAAGAAAGTAATTTAGCAGCGATAAGTGTATTCGGCGTCACGACAGTCGCCACCTGTTTGTAAACATAACGGTTTTTCGGTTGCGAGTTCAACTCCAAGCATGGTTGTGGCCACCTATTCACAGTGGGGAGTTTTGACTGGTGGCAGCGATAGTATAGAGCGCTCCGGGAACGTACTATCGCTGTGAGGAGCTTGTAATTTTCTTAGCAAAGGGAGATAACAACACTTTTCGGAAAGTCGAAAAATGCGCCGCCGCAGGCTATATTCAGTAAACAAATATTCAAAACTCTCCACAGCGCAGGGCGTATTCAATGACATTTCGTGTAGAGATGATAGATCACTGAGAGGAGCTTATGCACACTCGATGACCCCTGACGTCACAGGGCATTGTTTCGCCGGTGTGACTGGCAACAAAATACTTCAAATTACGTCATAGGGTATGATCACATGTATGAAAAGTTTGTGGTACTGTATTCTAAAGGTAGGCCCTGAAAATGACCTGAAAATTAGGTACATAGTAAATGTCGCCATGTTTTACACATTGCGTTATTAACAGCATGTTTTGAAATAATAATTTTGGATATTTACTCGGAGAAATGAATTTCAAAAATAGCATATTAGTAATCACGGGTATCTGTCTTTGATCAAATCACCAATGATCATTTCAAAACGTCGCCGATAACCCTAGAATCGTTTAGAATGTCTTGGAAAATACGCAAACACGAACGGCGAAGTGAACTTTCCGAACAAAATTGGATAGTGTTTACAAAATCACGTTTCACGTATATCGGTTATGAGATGCCTGTAACATAACGTTAATTTCAAACTCAGCTACGATACATACATCCTTGAATTCCTCATACAGAGTAGAATCAAATGACACATGGTCTTTGTCACCAATACAAAGTGTTTAGATGAAATCAAGCAAAATAAATTAGGTGTCAAAACGAACGCAGTGCTCGAAAAACTACAGTTGTTTGAAATGTTAACAAAGCAAATTTCAGATTTTACACAGTGTAGCATTTCCTACAATTTTGAAATATCCATTCGTCTATTCATTGAATAATTGGCTTAACAATTTCAGAATATGCATGGGAAGAGAACCGTATGAAGAATTAGGGAACTAAAAAATAGATACCTGGCAATGGTTCATATTTTCAACAGAAATAGTCAAAGTTTCCGTCCTGTAAGTGTGACGCCATGACTGACGCAAAATCACGCAAAACGACAACGGTATTTATCGGAATTTCTGACTATTTGCGTTGGTTTCATTGAAAAATATAACAAATAACAGCACACTGATTGTCAGAATGTTTCTGACTACGTACATGTCACATTTATGTAAATACGATCCCTGAATCAACGAAAGTCCCCTCGTAAAATCCCGCGTACTGTTAACAGTGAACACGCCATTTTGTAAAAGTCGGTCACTGGTAGTGATGTCATACACCAACATTGTTGTATATATTTGGTAATTTCTTTGAGGTGAAGGTCCTTGAATGAATGCACACACGATCATTGTATCCTGCTGTTTACAGTTGTAATTATTATGTAGATTTTGCATATCTTTTATACATTTTTTCACACATTTAATTTAATATTTTCTTGCTACTCTATTCCAGTTTCAATGTTTTAAACAGAAGTTTCATCATTTTAACGTAATCATCCAATAAATATATTAATTGCAACCACACACGAGTCGTACAACACATTTCTATTTTGTCAGAAGAGTAACATCATATTTATTACGAGTTATTCCTTATTCCTAAAGGGAACACCAACCCACGTATACATAAACATTTTTGACGTCATGGAATGGAATGGCAAAGTTAGGAATATTTTCAATGCGACATTTATATTGTATGCGCAGCTCTTCATATGTACGAAAGCCTTTTAGGGCCATTTGTTTTTTTTTAATTTCTTTCGATACTATCTTGAAATTTCAAGAAACTTAGTTTAAATTTCAAGATACTAAGTTGAAATTTCAAGAAACTAAGATGAAATTTCAAGATACTAAGTTGAAATTTCAAGATACTAAATTGAAATTTCAAGATACAGAAGTTGAAATTTCAAGATACTAAGTTGAAATTTCAAGAAACTGGGTCCCTGTCTTGTCACATCGCAAAAGATATCAAGTACCAATTTATGGTGAGACAACATGGCCTGATTCGAAGAAGTTCCCTTTAGGACCCATCAAGAAATCGCAAAACCATACGCTTATGAACCAAAAGAGCAAGTTTCGCGGTATGGAAACGATGAAAATCAAGTGAAAACAAGAGAAGACCCACATCACCTAGTGTGTCACCCGACTCCACATCTACGCAATCACCGGTAAGAATAACATTTTGATGTGTGTATACTCGGACCCCGTGGTACCGCGGCATTCATCGTATCGCGGCATTTGTGATTTCCGGTAGTTCACGCGGGACACGCCTCTTAGCGGCTGTCTATTAATGCAAATCACTAACCAGCAGTAGAAACTATGTTATAACAGTTTTAGTCTACTAGTCCTTTTAATGATAACATGTAGCAAACCCCTTAAAAATGGCAAATTTCTACTAGTCCTTATGATACCTCAACTATTGGTTTCGCAAGGACTACAGGACTAGTGCCTATTTCTACCGCTGATAACCAGGAAGTGCTCACTTCGTAAACAATTTCAATTTCCTCGGAATGTTCCCTCTGTTGTAAGTAAGGAATTATTAATGCGATGATACTTACTTCTGCCATCTGTTTTAATATTGCCTTACCCCCATCTATCAATGGCCAACGATATAACCCGCAGTTCCCCAAGTAAACTTTCTCTATCGACCTGAACTAGATCATCTGCATATTCATGGCGAGTAATAAGGTAACGGAAGTTACGTAGTCCGCACATTTTTTCCCGCTCTGTGCCCAGAATCTATTGGGAGATCATAAGGGCCATAATGCCAAACTTAGAAATACGTTCTTCACTTGTAGCCAAAAGATAAATACATACTTTGGGCATAGTAGGCTGCTTTTTATATATTTATTGTTGACTTTTAACATTTATCCATTTTGTGACAAATTATTGTCATCCATATTTAAAAAACAAAACAATCTTAGAATATCATTTATTATATTTTGTTGTTGATTTTTGAAAATATTTTTCTCTTACTTTTCGGTAAATATGCATTTAATACCTATTACTGATAACACATTTAGAATTTTATTTGTGCTGTCTTTGCACTTGTCTGGACTGGACTGATGTCTGGCATGATCATACTAAGTGGTTGGCAGATTTATGTCCACTTTTTGTCCAATTCGGATCTCCATACACAACTTTTCTCTGTACCGCGATACGATGGAGTTCTCTCACTTGTCAAACTGAGCGCGAGGCCCGGCTTTTACTCGGAGCTACTAATGTAAATAATGAACTTTTATCAGTAAATATGAACTGTTAGATAAAATAAATGACATCTGATAAAGAGAACACGAATAATCATAAAGGTTAGTGAGCGCATTTTGTTCCGTTTAACGTACATGACAAGTATCGCAATACCCCGAGGTTGCAGGCTACAATGTATACCTAAATTATCTATATGCTCATTTTTACATTTTCAGAAGCGGAAACATTACATTCTAAGAGGTTTTTGTCACGCCTGGTGACCCGTATGCTTCGTCAGCTGGCCTATTCCTCCTGTCCCACCCTGTTACGTCGGGTGCAGGCTAAAACGGCACCTCAGCAAAACGTCACCGATTACTCTGGCGAAAACGGCACCGATTACTCTGGCGAAAACGGCTACATGGTATTTGATGTATTTACATGTCATTTGATGTGATGTATTAACATTGTATTTCCTGTTTTCACAGATAAGTAAATATGTTCATATATACAGTTTTGTGGCATGTCCATCGTCTTCACCATCCTGTTCATGTTCATGTATACAGTTTTGTGGCATGATATGCCTCTCGGTCGCCACGGACGAAGCCCTCGGGTAAGAATTCCCACCATCTATAGGCTACAGATCAATGCTACTTGGCAATATCAAGAAACAAATACGATTTATCGCCGAACGTTGGCTCAACAAGGTTACACATTACCAGCTGATTACGAATGCTTTGAGTAACACGAAAATGGGGTACGACCCTATACGTGTCTCAACTCGGCTGCCGAGTGGAAACGTACTCACTGGGAATAAAAAGATTCTCTTTGATTTTTTTCCCATCCGAAATCACAATAACTGCCATATTTTATGGATAAGTAACTGGATGTCGTACTTCACACCAGCACCTGCCGAACAATACCACTCGAATTTGAAAGTGAAATGATAGATCACTCCATTGATGTGTTTAAGTGATTGAAACCGAGTTACTGCAGTAGATCTTATTAATAGATCTTACCCATAGATAATTGGTTATTGGTTTGTTTCTGACAACCATTCACAGAAAATGCATTGTAACTATTTATCATCCATTATGAGGCCAGATCGTTTTTAATGTTTACAAACTAAAACAAAAGAAATGTTTTATATATAATTATTAGAAACAGTGGCTTGTTTAATTGAATAAAGCAGATATGTGTACAATGTCTATAAAAAA